CGCCTGACACAGCAGGGGAGGCTAAGCTAGGCACACCTACACTAGGCAACAGTGAGTAATAAGTCGGAAGCACACTAGAGTCATCAGCATACATCACATGCAGAGCAGAAACAATGGCATCCATGTCCATATCAAAGATCTGAATCTGACGACTAAGCAAACTGTGCCAGTCCGGGAGGTCTGGCGACGGGCCGAAACGCTGACGAAAGAGGTCGTCCAGGCGACGAAAGCAGCGGGGAGTGGAGTGACCGATCTTACCGCAAACGAAACCGCGGCGAGGACCGGTCTGGATCTGGTACTGACAACGCCCGCCGGCAGAGCCACCACGCGGCACACCACCACGCGCCCGTCCACCGCCAGCGCCGGGCCACCCTGGCGGGAGAACACTCGTCTGCCGCGTCTGCGACAGCTGCTGCGAAGGCTGCGACTGCGGCGGCTGCTGCGGCTGCTGCAACTGCAGGGGCGGCGACTCAGCTGGACTGGGCGCCCGCACCCCCGCCGCCCCCTCCGCCGCGCCCAGCCTTGGGGCGGCGGCCCTTCCCCGAACGGGCCTGCGCTGCAGCAGCAGTCTCAGCCACTGCGGCAGAGCCGTCGGAGAAGGTGCACTGAGCGGGGGCACAACCCTGAAAGATAGGGACAGGCACGACACCGCTCGCCTGGGCGATGGAGCGGTGACGGGTCTCTATCACAGTCAGGGTGTCGACAAAGTCAGTGAGGGTGAGGTCTGCGGGGTGAACACTAAGGAAGCGGTCGCGGGCGACAGCAAGGCGGTCAGGGAGGCGGGTGGCAAGCAGGTAGAGGGTAGAGGTAATGGGCGGCTGGTGGGCTCTAAGCTGTGCGTCAGTGCAGGCGGCGCGCCAGGTCTCCTCTATCGAGCGCAGGTGGGCAGCGAGGTCAGAGACAGTGGGGAACGAAGCAAGGTCAGGAAAGAGCAGCGGGAGGATCAGGCGACCCACCGAGGCAGCCGGAGGGGTGGAATAGCGCTTGATGACAGCATCTAAGTATGCCTGAGCAGTAGTGAGGGACCTAAAGCGAGGACGCTCGGACGGGGGGAGGGCGTTGCTAATGGCAAGCTGGGCGACAGCATCGCGAGAAAGCCAGACAGAGCGCGCACGGGCAGTGGCAGCAGTAGACTCACGCTCAGTGGGTGTGGGGTCAGCGGGCAGAATAGCAGGAGGGTCTGGGCAGGGGAGCGTACCGTCAAGGTGTGCGGAAAGCGGTTCACCATCCTGCCGCTGGCCAGTGAGTTGGCGGCGGAGGTCGGCAAGCCACGCCTCGAACTCTAGGGGCTGACCTTCAGCGTCGAAGCGAAGCTCCGCCGCCATCAGGAACAGTCCAGTGCTGTGCAGGGCGGTGCAGTGCGGTGCAGTGCGATACAGTGCGGTGCAGTGCGGTACTGTGCGGTACAGTGCGGTGCAGTGCGGTGCAGTACGGTACTGTGCGGTACAGTGCGGTACGGTGCGGTGCAGTGCGGTGCAGTGCGGTGCAGGGCGGCACGGAGCAGGGCGGGGTGGGGGGGGGGGGGGGGGAACCGTACCAGTGAGGAGGACGGGGCCGGGGCTGGCCCGACGGGGCCGGGCGGGCGTGACGGGGCCGGGCTGATGCGACACGGCCGGGACAGGGCGACGGGGCCGAGCGGGCGCGACGGGGCCGGGCTGGGGCGACGGGGCCGGGCGAGTGCGGCAGGGCCGGCCCGGTGCGACGGGGCCGGGCGAGCGGGACGGCGGCCGGGCTGGTGCGACGGGGCCGGGCGGCTGTGACAGCGCCGGGCGGGCGCGACGGGGCCGGGCGGCAGCGACGGCGCCGGGCGGGCGCGACGGGGCCGGGCGGCGGCGACGGCGCCGGGCGGGCACGACGGGGCCGGGCAGCGGCGACGGGTACGACGCGGCCCAGGAGGGGCGCTACTGGGCCCAGGAGGGGCACGACGGGGGGCCCAGGAGAGGCGCGACGAGGTCCAGGAGGGGCGCTACGGGGCCTGGGAGGGGCGCGACGGGGCCTGGGAGGGGCGCGACGGGGCCCAGGAGGGGCGCTATAGGGCCCAAGGAGGACGCGACGGGGCCCAGGAGGGGCGCTACGGGGCCCAGGAGGGGCGCAACGGGGCCCAGGAGGGGCGCTACGGAGCCCAGGAGGGGCGCGACAGAGCCCAGGAGGGGCGCTACGGGGCGTGGAAGGAGCGCGACGGGGCCCAGGAGGGGCGCGACAGAGCCCAGGAGGGGTGCGACGAGGCCTGGGAGGAGCGCGACGGGGCCCAGGAGGGGCGCTAGGGGGCCTGGGAGGAGCGCGACGGGGCCTGGGAGGGGCGCGACGGGGCCTGGGAGGGCGTTACAGGGCCCAGGAGGGGCGGTGTGAAGCCCAGGAGGGGCGCGACGAGGCCCAGGAGGGGCGCTACGGGGCCCAGGAGGGGCGCGACGGGGCGCTACGGGGCCTGGGAGGAGCGCGACGGGGCCCAGGAGGGGCGCTAGAGGGCCTGGGAGGGGCACGACGGGGCCTGGGAGGGCGGTACAGGGCCCAGGAGGGGCGCTACGAGGCCTAGGAGGGGCGCTACGGGGCCTGGGAGGAGCGCGATGGGGCCTGGGAGGAGCGCGACGGTCCCCAGGAGGGGCGCTAGGGGGCATGAGCGGAAGCGGTAGGTGGGGGGGGGGGGGGGATCCTACCTACGCGTGATACCATATCAGAAAATTGAATGATAGTGATAGAGGGAGAGTACACACAATATAGCTAAGTGTTGTACCCTCTAAGAGGCTACCCTATACAGTCTATACAAACATAACAAATAGACATGTTTGACAGGAATCTCTTCCCTCGCAGAGCCCTAGGGCAGGCGCACATCAAGCAAATTCGTCCAAGGGCTAGCAATTGCCCTCACACAGTCCTCAGCACACCTCCCTCACATGACCTCCAACATTCAGCGCGGAGATTTTTTTTACCAAGGGCCAATCAGCGCCCTCACACAGCCTCGGGGGGTGGAGGAAGGGGGGGGGGAGAACCTCAAAATTCTTGACTGCCCCCCCGACCCGAGGGTCTGTACGTTGCGGGAGGCCGCAACCAGTTGGTCGACG